TTATTATTATTATTATATTATTATTTAACTATATTACTGCCACTGACTGTGACTAACTGCGACTAATTTTAACAAGTAAGATTTTAACACAGTGAAACGACACAACACAAAACAACACGGTTAAAACTGCAAATTAAACAGCAAGTGAAAACCTATTATAATATAAACTACACTAAATACCCAAGGAAAGCTAAAATGAAAACCACGATGAAAACTGCACAATACAAACTTACATTTGTTGTGAATCCTGCCTAGTGGCTAACAAGCTGCACGAAGCGAAAAGAACGAATATGCAAACTACAGTTGACAAAACTGCACTGGAAAAACTCGACAAACTACTATGAACAATACAGTTTAAATACATGCTACTTTACGTAATGATACAAAGAAAGGGCATGCAAAACTTTACTACAATTAGCACTACTGCACAAGAAACCATAGACAAAAAATAATGCGTAGCGATCTACAACTGTATTTAACTTTTAAAATTGAGATGAAAATGTGAAAGTTTTTACCAAAATAATCACTGAATTGGCTAGGGCACATTTTGAACCCTTTTTAATAAATATTGTTGTACATGAGAAAGCCTTTCCAGGGCTGTAGTCTAGCAGTGCCTGGTGGCCCTTGGTGCATTACTTTGCTCTTGGGCGACTCAGGAATCTTAGCTTTTTCATAAAAAGCTTATGCTGGGCACCCTGGATTTCACACTTTCAGAGCACTGGGCTCCCTTCAATTTTTCGTAGAGCACAGGCTTGCTTTCCCATAAGCCTGGTGGTTTCTTGAGGTCTCCTCACCTTCTGCTGCTGTAAGTTTATTTATCATTATTGTAAAAAAAAAAGGCAAATAAATAAATAAATGAAGTGAAATGAAACTTTTTCCTTGACATGTTACAGCTTTATCAAGCAGAGAGTGGGAATAACTGGAAAGCCAAAGATGCTGCAATCTTCCTTGTTACATCACTTGCAAGCAAGAAACAAACTGCTAAGGTAGTAACCATAATAATAATAATATATACCCAACAGGGTTTTTGTCAGGCATTCTATTTTGAAGAATTCTTTGCCCTTTTCAAAGTGTTCTCTGCACCCAATATAAGTTTTAACTTAAATTCTGTGGCTTGTTTCTCATAATTTGCAAAGTTAACCAACAGTGTTGTAAAAGAAGTTCCATTTTGCAATGCAGTTACATAATTTAACTTTACCTGATAAAAATGCTCTCCCTTTTAGCATGGAACAACACAAGCAAGTGAACTTGTGAATTTGCAGAGCTTTTTTGCTGAACATATTTTGCCAGAGCTACAGATCAAAAATGGCAAGTACCAATAATCCATTTTGTCTTCTGTGTGCTTCAGTTTTTTTGTTTCACTGCATACACAAAATGGGTTGCCAAATCAAATCACCAATTTTTGTGCTACAACCACAATAAGTGGAAGAAAATCCTGCCTTCTTTTTGCTGCAGTTCCACTGATGCAACTGACAGTGGTTAGGATTGTGGAGCTTTACACACCTAACTTCCATTGGTCACATGAACACCTGAGTATGCATGACAAATACCAGTCTTTATGTCATGTCAGCTGTAACTGATGGATTAAATTTAAATCTGTTAGATATGGATAAGTAACAGGTACAATGTTATTGAAAATTCCATTCATTTTCTCCTGTTTTTTTTTTCTCTCTTTTTTTTTAGTTGATGAACATCCAGTACTAAAGGCTGACTCCATCAAATATATTATCATCTTCAGAAATATGGTATGTCTTTTGAAGATAAGTTGCAGAATGTCTCTATCACTTAAAATCCAAGAGGAAAGTCTGAGAGTCTAATCCAGGTTTTGTACCAGGGAGAATACAAACCTGCTATGAATAATTTTCGAGATGCATCAACAAATTAACTGTGATGAAAAAACTCTCCCAACCAGCATTAGTATAAATGCATCTCAATGAGTAATGGGAATTGAAAACGAAAAGGAAAAGAACAGAAAATGGCAGAGTTGTTCCTGCTGTTCAGTACTGTATCTTGTAAAATAATTTTACATTTATCAATTCCATCTGCATTAATTTTGTTCTTTCAGCTTTCTCCTGAACTAATTGTGGGATGCCTGCCACTCCTTGTGAAGCACCTAAAGGCCAAGAGCCATGTTGTACATAGCTATGCTGCACACTGCCTGGAGAAGATCTTTACACTCAAGAATCCTCAGGGAAAAGCTCTGTATGTTTCATTGTTTTAAATCTTCCCATCTACCTTAGAAGGGGCATGTCACCATCTGTCTCTTGGGCAGTCCTTCCAAATCTTCTCCATCTCAAACTATCCTCTTTCTGTTTTTGTTCATTACCACCTTTTTGATTTATTGAAAGAAAATTTCTCCAAAGTCCTCATGTTGAAAGAGCTCCCATTCTGGTGTGAAGCTCTTTTTAAAGAAGTATTGCCAATCTTGTTATATAAATGTTTGAGAGACATGTGTTAACTGGATCTACTTATTTCTTCCTTTTTCTTTTCCCGGTGATGAAATTTTCATTTAATTCAATTAAGAATTAATGGTTACCATGAGAATTGGATCCAAAATTGTTCTTGCAGTTTTATGGTGTTATTTGAGGTTAATCCTGACCCTCAGATTTTGTTACCACTAACTTTTGTCGCTTTGATACCACTGATAATATTCTAAGTGTAAACATTTAAATCAGCAGACTCTACAGAAGAGAAATTCAGAGCTGTAGAAAATCCTTTTTGGCATTTAGGTGATATATTTTGTTTCCTATGCAGACTTGGAAAGGTTGATGTGCAGCCAAATTTAGAAGAGATGCTATCAAATCTGTTTCATTTGCTGAAAGTCCCAGGCTCACAGGAGAATGAATATGTCATGAAAGGTACCCATTTAATTTGTGGAACATTTGTTAATCTGTTCCACAAACTAAGGCATATTTCTTTGAATCAAGCATTTTGTGGTTGGACTTCCCTGTCCTGTCTTCAAATGGATCATGGGGGCCTCTAAGAACTGATTTGGTTTTGTTCTGTGAGTGGGATCTGTCAGGTTTCTTTTTCCCAAGCTTTTTACTCACAAAATGAATTGACAGGACAAACAATAGCTCGCCTGTCTGTACACGCAATGAGAGCCACCTTACTTGCTGTTTGCATCAGCAAGGACTTACTGGAAAACACCTTAATTTTTTCTTCTCACTACAGGATTAGCTATAGGAGAAAACAGTCAGAATCTTATTTTTTTTGTGTAAATAAAGCAAACTGGCCTGAGATTGTAGTAAGGGGTCTGTAAGTAAGGGAAAGTTTGCTTTATAGCAGATTGTTTTAATTTACTCAAGCAGCAATCCCTAATTGACCAGGGAGAAATGCATGATTTCATATTTTGGGACCAAAATTGTATAGAAACAGTTACATTTTTTTATAATTATTTTTTTTATTTTGCAGCAATTATGAGGTCATTTTCCCTTCTCCAGGAAGCCATCTTACCTTACTATGCTGTGTTAATTGCTGATTTGGCATCTAAACTGGCCCTAGTTAGCAAGGTGAGGATTTACTTTCCAAGAATGATCAGGGTTTAATTTCTCCTTTACTGTGGGCATTAGGATAATTATGCTGGTAGGAAAAGGTTGTGAAACTAGACAGCCATCTCAAGCCGTTCATGTGGGATGCTTGTATTACAAAGACCACAGAGAATTAAAAATGTTTCCATTTGTTTCCTTTGCATTGTTGATAATGTTCAGGGTATTAAAAGATGGATTCTCCCTCCTTCTATTTACAGAACCCAAGCAAACCACAGTTTAATCACTATCTCTTTGAGGCCATCTGCTGTGCTATCAGGTGTGTTAAACAGCTTTTGTTTTGTCTTGTTGTTTCTTCACTAGAAGAGCAAAGTCACAAGGATATTTGTGTACTGAAAAATGAGAACTGATGTAATCACTAATCCTATTTACAATTGACATGTTTGGAAAGTTCTTCATCAATAATAATTGCTAATCAGTTACATAAATCAAAATTAATGCACACCAAACTGATTGTGTAAGAAATACAGCAGATTAAAAGTATTCAATTTCAAATAAATTAAGAATGTGTGTTAATGGCATTTGAACTTATTTAAGTAATTGGCAATTTTTGAGAAAGATAAACCATAATTAGGATATTCCATAGCATGTACATTTTAGAATTAAAATTCATTACTCGAGGTCATAATGTTATTAATTGGTATCATTTATTTTTATATTAGAGTAATATGCAAAGCAGATCCATCAGCTGTGGCAGGATTTGAGAAAATGCTGTTTCCTGTGGTTCAAGAAATTCTTACAAATGATGTAACAGGTACTAAATGAATGTAGAAGGTTTAAGAGAGATATCAAGTTGTTTCCAAATAAGGAAAAATCCATCTTCTATTTTTTTCAGTTCTGAAATTTTTATTACATCATAAACATTTTTCTTTGCATGAAAAATTTCACAAAAGTCCTGGAAAGGGCATGAAGGTCACATTTTAATCCAGGTTGGCTGCTATTATGCATTTCATTTGACTATTGCTTTTTTTGTTTTGTTACAGAGTTTCTCCCATATGTGTTCCAAGTGTTGTCATTGTTACTGGAAATTCGACATGAAATTTCTGAGCCTTACATGGAGCTGTTTCCTCTTCTTCTCTCAACAGTTCTCTGGGAAAGAAATGGTACAGGAAGTTTGAAAAAGACTTCTTAAAATAGTATTAACAGTTAACCTTGCTTTACCTACACTAAATGTTTTTGCCTCTTAAAACACTTAGCCATGATTTCAGAAGGTAAGTGCAATAAAAGTAATAAGAGAAAAGGGCAACAATCTCCTCAGCAGAAAAGGAGGTCACCATGGCAACAAATCTGCAGTTCAACCCTTAGGCACCTCACAACACAACACCAACAAAGCAGTATTCAGGATGAGTTGATACCCATAAGTAGGGGTGAGGGAGGGAAGGTAGCCAATCAAACTGAGAAAAGCATGAGGCAATACCCCTGTAAACCTCCCTGTGGTTCCCTGCATCCTAAGTGTAAGCTGTTCATTAACATGAGTTTGACCTTGCTTAAATAACTTTTAGCCTCATTAAAAGATAATATTGTGAATTATCACCATACTTTCATTACCTACAAACAAAGAGAAATTCTTGAACCACAAGACCTGGAAGCTCTCTGACTTAACCAGTCATTTTGGTTATTTTCAGAACTCTCTTTTTTTTTTTTTTTTTAAGTTTTTCTTAAACATTATCTAACTCATATACAGTGGATGCATTATTAAGGTTAAAGGACAACAGAGGTTGTTATGCTGGCCAAAAGTCAATGTGGCATTAGTTTTGTGTATTTAACTGTTATCAACTTGCCTCAAATTGGTTCACCTGCTTTTTCAGGAAACATACCACCACTGGTCCGTTTGCTTCAAGCCTATATTGAAAAGGGAAGCAAAACTATTGTGGAAACAAAGAAAGAGGTAATGCAGAAACTTTTCATTTTTGGCAACAGTAATATAAAGAGTTGCTAGAGACCTAGCTTTACTGGTAGATCAAAACTGACAAATCACAACTACATCACACTACTTGACTGACATACAGCTGTTTACTTGATTTCAGTGGTGAATTCTACCATAGTTGCATGTAAAAAGATGAATCAGTGTCAGACACCAGTTCTTCTCAGGACTACTCTCAGCAAAATGATCAGACTATACTGTTGTTACTCCTGGATTCAAAGTATTTGATCTCCATTTCAAACTCATTATTGCTCAAATGATTCCTTAAAGACTACCAGCCTTGAAAACCATGAAAGGCCAATCATTCATTTTATACGTTATTAAGGAGTAACTGTTGGCTCTACTGACTCATAGTTAACTCCGTATAGATGTAATAGACCATGTGCAAATGATTCTTTAAGTCTGACACTTTCTTTCTTTTTGATGGTTAAGGTCTTGCTGGGAGAATGTTTAACAATAGTCAAAGGACCTTGGCTTATTGTAGTTAGCATTTGAAAAAAAAAAAAAAAGGAAGACAGGATTGTAATGATAGTGTTTTTGTGCCCTTGTAACAGATGGGCATGCTAGGTGTTTTTCAAAAGCTTATTGCATCAAAGAGCAATGATCATGAAGGATTTTATCTGATAGGGAGTATGGTGGATCACTTTGACCCGTAAGTTTGATTCTCTTTTGATTGTTTTCACCTGGATAAGTGATGCATGTAGTTTATGGCTAATTAAGAATTTAGATGTTCTGTTGATTAATGAATCTGTTTTATTTTGTTACACAGGTCTTCCTTGGTGCCACACATAAAGTCTGTGTTTCTCATCCTATTTCAGAGGTTGCAGAGTTCAAAAACTACCAAATTTGTCAAAGGTATTGCCCATGGAGAACACATGTTTTCTTAGAATTTTGCTGTAAATTGTGGGTGGAGAATTCTCAAATCTAAGATACCTCCTTAGCACCTTGTTTACCCCGATCTGAGTCATCCTTATCAAAATAACATTTTTAAATTATTTCTTGTAGGTTTGCTGGTGTTTTTCTGTCTTTATGCTGCTAAAAGTGGTGGAGAAGCACTGTTGAACACCATAGACTCCATTCAGGAAGGGTAAGGAGGACAAAATTGCAATTATTTACCAGTTATTGGAGGAACAAAACCTGGACTGCAAGATGATGAGAGTGTTTTAACAAAGGAAGAGAGTGTAGTTTGTCATGCACCTGCTGTACCAATTCACAACTTTTGGAACCAAAGATCAGATCTCTAGTTTCCCATTCATATTACTGCACAGATCACTAGCAGGTGTTCAAAGAGAGAAGGAAAAAAAAGTACCCTATATTGGAGTTGATCAGTTACCCAGATGTGTGAGAGTGCTAAGTGCTTGCAAGTTTCATTGAACTGTCTTTCAACAAGGTTTTGTCAAAGCAGCTTCTCACAGAACTTCTTGCTTTTTACTGCCAATTCAACTTGCACTGTATTGTTTGTTTTTTAACTATGAGTGGGTAAAGTTGAAATTTGATTTTTGTATCAGTTGCATTATTATTTGTTATTCAAGATTAATTATGTCTCTATTGCAGACTTTTTGGGAACTTTGTCGAGAAAGTTCTTATCGCTGATGTGCGGAAGGTAAGCGACTACTTGTCTTGGCCATAACACTCCCAGGATCGAAATGCCAATTCTCTACATTGCCTGTCAGACATTTCTAGTTATTTTAGCTCTTAGAATTTGGTGTTTGATTGAACAATCTCCCTTGGTGAATATCTTTCTTTCTGATAATCACCTTAAAGTTTATGCTCAAGATTCACCAATATTGTTAAGGTCTTGTTAGGAATTGAAATGGATAACTCTTTAACTCCCAAGTTCTAAAAGCTAATTTCCTCAGATTTTTGTTTCCTTCTTTTAATAAGGTATACATCCAAACAATATCCCCAGTTTGGTAATTTTCCATTTAACCATTATTGGTATGCATGACAGCTTATTAGAACATGTATAGATAGTTTACATAACAGGTATTCATTTATTACATGAGGACAAATTTTAAGATGAATTTCTCTTTATCTTCTAATTTCTTGATGATATCTAATTAGTATGTATCTAATATGAAGATTGTCTGCTGACACTTGTAGGTATCAGGGAGTTCAGAAAAGAGGATCTGTGCTGTGGGAATAACAAAGCTTCTTACAGATTGTCCTAAATTTCTAGAAACTTATAGCCATTTTTGGTAAGGCCTCTTTGTTATCCTGACTTTAGTTAGGGGTTGTAAACTATGACAATGACAATAACTTTATTTTTGTGTCAGAGCACTTTAGCATACCTGCTAATTTGAGACAGTAACAAAGCAAAAATAAAAGCACTGAATATTAAACAAATATTTAAAAATATTAATTTCTAAGATGCTTATGCTTAAATACCAATACTATACTATTAAGAAAGATAGAAAATGTCCACATCATACTGTTTGGTTTGAACTCCTTACCAGGGCTGTTAACAAATAATCTAAGGAGAATGTGCTGCCTTTGCTATGACATATGCATATGGTTGGACATTTTAGTCTTCTTGGACAATGATGATAAACCGTAGGCTGTCTCCTGCATCTACTCTGTACTAGTTAGTAGGGGATGTTAAAGAACCCACACACTCATCACAAAGAGTAGGAAGTGTAGCTCCTGGTGTTGTGGTCTGGCCATGTCACTGTTTATACAGGCCCCATTTAAACCAGCTTTAAGCTGAACTGGGCCAGCCTGTCTAAATAGCGCAAAATCTAAAAATACAAATACAATGCAATTGTTCAAAACACTGCAGCACGTCTTATTACCAGATCTAAACAATATGATCACATCAAAGCTGCTCTTCAAACACTACACTGGCTGCCAGTTGAATCACGTATAATGTTTAAAGTTATTCTTATTACTTTTAAGATTCTACATGGACATTCTCCAGCCTATTTGTTGTCCCTGTTACAAGAATATCATCCACCACCTACTCTACATTCATCTTCCAAATCACTTCTTACTGTCCCCACTATAAATTCTGTGACATACGGTGAATGTGCATTCTCCTTCTGTGCGCCTACATTATGGAATACTCTTCCTGATTCTCTTAAATCTGCAACTTCTTTTTCATCTTTTAAATCTGCCCTTAAAACATTCTTACTCTGGAAATTTTATTTTTGGTATTGTGAAACACTACACAGGTTTTTATCCTATTTAACTTTATTTTTGTTAGTGTAGTTACTACTGACTGTTCATTGTTATATTTTATTTTTATTATGCTATGTAAACGCATACACCGAATCGAAATATGGCATCCACTTTGAATTGCTATTGTTCTGGACTTACTAGCCTCTCACACATGATAATCCTTTTGTGTTTCCACGTGAAGACGAGGCTAGTAAGTCCAAAACAATGGTAATTCAAATTGGATGCCATATTTCAATTCAGGGAATTGAGATTCTTAAATGTGCTCATAAAAACCTTACTATAATTATTATTATTGTTATTATTGTTATTGTTATTATTATTATTGTTATTATAATTATTGCTATTATTATTATTG